GGTTGGGTGTTGAGGTTGGGTTGAGTTGGGGTTGGGCTGAGTTGAATTGAGGGTTGGGTTGAGTTGGGGTTTGGGTTGATGGTTGGGTTGAGGTTGAATTGAGGTTGGGTTGAGTTGGGCTTAGGGATGGTTGGGTTGGGGGTTGATGGGTTGGGTTGGGGGTTGAGGGTTGGGTTGAGTTGGGGGTTGGGTTGATGGTTGATGGTTGGGTTGGGGGTTGAATTGAGGGTTGGGTTGATGGTTGATGGTTGGGTTGGGGGTTGAATTGAGGGTTGGGTTGATGGTTGATGGTTGGGTTGGGGGTTGAATTGAGGGTTGGGTTGAGGATTGGGTTGGGGGTTGGGTTGAGTTGGGGTTGAGTTGAGGGTTGAGTTGGAGGTTGAGGGTTGGGTTGGGTTGGGGGTTGGGTTGAGTTGAGGGTTGAGTTGAGGGTTGAGTTGGGGGTTGAGGGTTGGGTTGGAGGTTCGGTTGAGGGTTGGGTTGATGGTTGGGTTGGAGTTTGGGTTGATGGTTGTGGGTTGTGTTGAGGGTTGGGTTGAGTTGAGTTGAGGGTTGAATTGAGAGTTGGGTTGATGGTTGGGAGTTGCGGGTTGAGGGTTGGGTTGAGTTGGGGGTTGGGTTGATGGTTGGGTTGAGGGTTGAGTTATTAAATTAAGAGAATCCTCCCAAAACCGGGAAAACCCTCCCAAAACCGGGAAAACTCTCCTAAAATTAGGAGAACTCTCCCAAAACCAGGAAAACCCTCCCAAAACCAGGAAAACCCTCCCAAAACTGGGAAAACCCTCCCAAAAGTAGGAAAACTTTCCCAAAACTGGGAAAACCCTTCTTAAAATTAAGAGAACTCTCCCAAAATTTGGAAAACCCTCCCAAACTTGGGAAAACCCTCCCAAAAGTGGTAAAACCCTTCTTAAAATTAAAAGAACCCTCCCAAAACTGGGAAAACTCTTCTTAAAATTAAGAGAACTCTCCCAAACTTGGGAAAACCCTCCCAAAACCAGGAAAACCCTCCCAAAACCGGGGAAAACCCTCCCAAAATTTGGAAAGCCCACCCAAAAGCGTGGGCTGAGCGCCGTGCCCGTGTCCCCAGGCGGGCCGTTCGGCGCCAGGCCATCCGGCACCCCACGCGCATCGACAAGGAGCGGGGGCCCACCAAGGCCACCACCACCAAGCTGGTGTACCACATCTTCGACACCTTCTTCTCGGAGCAGATCGAGAAGGACGAGCGCGAGGAGGACAAGGAGAACTCCACCAAGCGCCGGCGCTGCGGCGTCTGCGAGGTGCCGGTGCCGGTGCCGCTGGTGGGAGGGGGTGGTGGGGCCGTCCCACGGGGAGGTCACATCCCTGGAGATGGGGGGTTTTTTTGGGGGGAGGGTGGTGGTGGTGGTTGGGCTTGGAGGGGTTTTCCAACCTTGGTTAAGCAAAATTGGTCAAGGACCTTCGTCCACCTCCTGTCCTGGGTTGGGCTGGTCGGGCTTGGAGAGCTTTTCCAACCTTGGTCAGCATCAACCTCTTGTCCTGGGTTGGACTGGTTGGGCTTGGAGGTCAATCCCAACCTTGGTCAACCAAATTAACCTATCCTGGGTTGGACTGGTCAGTCCTGAAGGTCAATCCCAACCTTGACCAACCAAATTTACTCATCCTGGGGTTCAGTGGTGGATCTTGAAGGTCAATCCCAACCTTGACCAACCAAATTAACCCCTCCTGGGTTGGACTGGTCGGTCCTAAAGGTCAATCCCAACCTTGACCAACCAACCCCACCCATCCTGGGGTGTATCTTGGAGGTCAATCCCAACCTTGACCAACCAAATTACCCCATCCTGGGGTTCAATGGTGGATCTTGAAGGTCAATCCCAACCCTGACCAACCAAATTAACCCCTCCTGGGTTGGACTGGTCGGTCTTGAAGGTCAATCCCAACCTTGACCAACCAAATTAACCCCTCCTGGGTTGGACTGGTTGGTCTTGAAGGTCAGTCCCAACCTTGATCAGCATCAACCTCCTGTCCTGGCTTGGACTGGTCGGTCCTGAAGGTCAATCCCAACCTTGACCAACCAACCCCACCCATCCTGGGGTTCAATGGTGGATCTTGGGGGTCAATCCCAACCTTGACCAACCAAATTAACCCCTCCTGGGTTGGACTGGTTGGTTTGAAGGTCAATCCCAACCTTGATCAGCATCAACCTCCTGTCCTGGGTTGGACTGGTTGGTCTTGGGGGTCAATCCCAACCTTGACCAATCAACCCCACCCCTCCTGGTGTTCAATGTTGGGATCTCAAAGTTCAACCCCAACCACCCCAGTCACTCCCTGGGTCCCTCCCAGAGGCCCCACCCCGCTCCCTGGTGGGGGTGACACCGTGACAGCCTCACCCCCACCCCCCCTGTGCCCACCCCAGGTGTGCCAACAGCCCGAGTGTGGCAAGTGCAAGGCCTGCCAGAACATGGTGAAGTTCGGGGGCAGCGGGAGGAGCAAGCAGGCCTGCCTGCAGAGGAGGTGACCATGTCCCACCCCCCAACATCCCATCCCCTTGTCCCCCTCCCTGGGGGGCTCTCTGGTGACTTTCCCACCCCCAATCCGTGCCCAGGTGTCCCAACACTGGCCGTGAGGAGGCAGATGAGGACGAGGAGGTCGACGACAACGTCCCCGAGGTGCCCTCGCCCAAGAAGATGCTCCAGGGCAGGAAGAAGAAGCAGAACAAGAGTCGGATCTGCTGGGTGGGGGAGCCCGTCAAGGTGAGGCCAGAGGTGGATTTTGTGGGTGGGGGAGTCCTTAAAGGTGAGGGAACCCCATCCAGGTGAGGGAACCCCATCCAGGTGACACCAGAGGTGGATTTTGTGGGTGGGGGAGCCCATAAAGGTGAGGGAACCCATCCAGGTGAGACCAAACTAAGGGGAACCCATCAAAGGTGAGAGAACATCTCCAGGTGAGGGAACCCCATCCAGGTGACACCAAAGGTGGATCTCATGGGTGAGGGAACCCATCCAGGTGACAGAGCCCATCCAGGAGGGAGAGCCCACCCAGACCAGGCCAGGCAGGACCCCCCTTTCCTCCTCCTGACCCCCCTTTCCCCCCCCAGAGGGATGGCAAGAAGGATTACTACCAGCGCGTCTGCATCGACTCGGAGACGCTGGAGGTCGGCGACTGCGTCTCCGTCAGCCCCGACGACCCCACCAAGCCCCTCTACCTGGCCAGGTGGGTGCCCCTCCCTCTCCCCCCTACCCAGGGGACATTTCTGGATGTCCCCAAGTTCCTGTCCCCCTCCCCAGGGTGACAGCCATGTGGGAGGACAGCAGCGGGCAGATGTTCCACGCGCACTGGTTCTGCCCGGGCTCGGACACGGTGCTGGGGGCCACCTCGGACCCTCTGGAGCTCTTCCTGGTGGACGAGTGCGAGGACATGCAGCTCTCCTACATCCACGGCAAGGTCAACGTGGTCTACAAGGCGCCCTCCGAGAGCTGGGCCATGGAGGTGGGTGAGGGTCGTGGTGGTGATGATGGTGATGGTGATGATGGTGATGGTGATGGTGATGGTGATGATCCCCCCCACACCCTGAACACGAGCCCAGGTGGGACAAGAGGGATGGTGGATCATGGCATGGATCGGGATCGGTGGGAACACGAGCAGGGAAGGGATTCTTGGGCTGTTCTCAGCCAAACCTCGGGTTTTGTGTCCAGTTTTGGGTCCTTCAGGTCCAGTTTTGGGTCCTTCAGGTCAGTTTTGAGTCCCTTTTTGAGCTTTGTGTCCAGTTTTGAGGAATATTTTGGTGGGAGTTCCTGGGGTCTGCATTTTCCTCCTCATCTCCCTCGGGTGACATCCTTGATCATTTTTGTTCTATCCATTGTTCTGATCATCCAGGTTTGAAGAAAACCTTTGACTCTAGACCTACTTTACCTATTCCAAATGTCTACCTTGGCTCCTCTGGATGATTTTTATGTGTGTTGAGTTCTTTGTTCAGTGTTTGTTGTGGTTCCTTTAGGGTCCAATGCTCCTAATACAGAACAAAACCTTCTTTTAAAAGTCCAACTTACAGTGAATGAAATACAGGGGGTAAGGGTGGGTTTAGAGGATAAAATTAACCCTTTTTTGAGCGGCACTGAGGGCGATGATCCCATAACCACATCAGGGCTCGGTGGTCTCGGAACTCCCTTCCAACCCCCCCCTTAAAATTCCACCATCCCAACATCCCAAACTCTGATCCCCCTCCCCATTTTTGGCAGCAGGGAGGGCAGGACATGGAGGTGAAGGCGGTGGAGGACGACGGCAGCACCTACTTCTACCAGCTGTGGTACGACCAGGAGTACGCGCGCTTCGAGAGCCCGCCCGACGCCCGCCCCGCCGACGACAACAAGTACAAGTGAGGCACAAACCCTTCCTTTTATTTATTTTATTTATAATTTTATTTATAAAATGCCCTAAAAGGCAGGTGTATTAAGAAAAAAAAAAGGTATTTAGAGATGAGGGGTTTTATGGCTTTAAAAGAGTGAGGTGGTGATTGAGAGGTTGGGAAGTCCTTCAAGCTGTTGCTGGGAAAAGTAATTGTATATTAAAATGTGTAATTGTATATATAATTAAAAATATATACGTTTATATAATTTATATATATATTTATATATATAATTAAATATATATAAAAATATATAATTAGATATAATTAATAATTATATATTAAAATATATAATTATATATAATTAAATATATATTTATGTATAATTTGTATGTATATTTATATATAATTAATTATATATATAATATATAATTATGTATAATTAATAATTATATATTAAAATATATAATTATATATAATTAAATATATATTTATATATAATTTATATATATTTATATATATACTTAAAAATATATAAAATATATAATTATATACATAATTAATAATTATATATTAAAATATATTAAAAATAATAATATATTATAATATATAATATAATTAATAATAAAATAATAATAAAATATTATTACTATTATTACTATTAAAAATAATAATAGTAATAGTAATAATAATAATTTATTTATAAGGATATAAAATAAGGAGATAAGGATATAAGATAAGGAGATAAGGATATAAGATAAGGAGATAAGGATATAAGGATATAAGATAAGGAGATAAAGATATAAGATAAGGAGATAAGGATATAAGATAAGGAGATAAGGATATAAGATAAGGAGATAAGGATATAAAATAAGGATATAAAGATATAAGATAAGGAGATAATGATATAAGATAAGGAGATAATGATATAAGATAAGGAGATAAGGCTATAAGATAAGGAGATATGGATATAAGATAAGGAGATAAAGATATAAGATAAGGAGATAATGATATAAGATAAGGAGATAAGGCTATAAGATAAGGAGATAAGGATATAAGATAATTTTGTAATTTTGCCTTCAGAAAACCCCTTTTTTTTTTTTTATTTTTTTCTGATTTTTTCCCTACCCAAACCCTTTTAAAATCCTTCTTGCTGCAGGTTCTGCCTGAGCTGCGCCCGCCTGGACGAGGTGAGGCACAAGGAGATCCCCAGGGTGGCCGAGCCCTTGGGGGAGGAGGACGGGAAGATTTTTTACGGCTCGGCCACCAAGAACGGCGTCCGCTACCGCGTGGGGGACGGGGTCTACCTCCTGCCCGAGGCCTTCTCCTTCAGGTTGGTGGGGAAAAATAAATCCCAAAAGGCTGTGGGGTTTGGGGGGGAAAAGGTGGAGGTTTGGGGTGGTGGATCGGAGGGGTAAATGGGGAGGGGGAGGGTGGAAAGTGGCGAAGATGGGGGGGAAGTGGAGGGGGTTGGTGTGAAGAGGAGGGGGTTGATGTGAAAATGAGGGGGTTCTTGTGAAAATGAGGGTGTTCTTGTAAAAAGGAGGGTGTTCCTGTGAAAAGGAGGTTTTTTAACCCAACCCCAAAAAATGAGGGTGTTCCTATAAAAATTGAGGTTTTTTAACCCAACCCCAAAAAATGAGGGTGTTCCTGTAAAAATGGAAGTGTTCCTATAAAAATGAGGGTGTTCCTATAAAAATGGAGGTTTTTTAACCCAACCCCAAAAAATGAGGGTGTTGCTGTAAAGGTGAAGGTGTTCCTGTAAAAAGGAAGGTGTTCCTATAAAAATGAGGGTGTTCCTGTAAAAATGAGGGTGTTTCATATAAAAATGGAGGTTTTTTAACCCAACCCCAAAAAATGAGGGTGTTCCTATAAAAATGAGGGTGTCCCTATGGAAATGAGGGTGTTCCTGTAAAAATGAGGGTGTTCCTATAAAAATGAGGGTGTTCCTGTAAAAATGAGGGTGTTCCTATAAAAATGAGGGTGTCCCTGTAAAAATGAGGGTGTTCCTATAAAAGTGAGGGTGTTCCTGTAAAAATGAGGGTGTTCCTATAAAGATGAGGGTGTTCCTATAAAAAGGAGGGTGTTCCTGTAAAAATGGAAGTGTTTCTATAAAAATGAGGGTGTTCCTATAAAAGTGAGGGTGTTCCTATGAAAAGGAGGGTGTTCCTGTAAAAGGAGGGTGTTCTTGTAAAAAGGAGGGTGTTCCTATAAAAATGAGGGTGTTCCTGTAAAAATGAGGGTGTTCCTATAAAAAAGAGAGTGTTCCTATAAAAATGAGGGTGTTCCTATGAAAATGAGGGTGTTTCTATAAAGGTGAAGGTGTTCCTGTAAAAATGAGGGTGTTCTTGTAAAAATGAGGGTGTTCCTTTAAAAATTGAGATCTGGATTCATCCCTGAGGGTCCAAATTCGTCCCTGAGGGTCTGGATTTGTCCCTGAGGGTCTGGATTTGTCCCTGAGGGTCTGGATTTGTCCCTGAGGGTCTGGATTTGTCCTTGAGGGTCTGGATTTGTCTCTGAGGGTCTGGATTTGTCCCTGAGGGTCTGGATTTGTCCCTGAGGGTCTGGATTTGTCCCTGAGGGTCTGGATTTGTCCCTGAGGGTCTGGACTTGTCCTTGAGGGTCTGGATTTGTCCTTGAGGGTCTGGATTTGTCCCTGAAGGTCTGGATTCGTCCCTGAGGGTCTGAATTTGTCCTTGAGGGTCTGAATTTGTCCCTGAGGGTCTGGATTTGTCTCTGAGGGTCTGGATTTGTCCCTGAGGGTCTGGATTTGTCCCTGAGGGTCTGGACTCGTCCCTGAGGGTCTGGACTTGTCCCTGAGGGTCTGGATTTGTCCCTGAGGCTCCGGATTTGTCCCTGAGGGTCCAAATCTGTCCCTTGTGACGCCCCCACCACCCTTTTCGTGTCGGATACCTCAACATTCCACCCCTAAAGGATTCGGGGACTCAACCCAAGAGGGGGTTGTGTTATTTTTTTGTGGTTTTTTTACCTTTTCCCCTGTTTTTCCCCCGATTTCCCAGCGTGAAACCGGCCAGCCCGGCCAAGAGGCCCAAGAAGGAGGCGGTGGACGAGGATTTTGTATTTTTTTGACCATTTTCCCCCTGTTTTTCCCCCGATTTCCCAGCGTCAAACCGGCCAGCCCGGCCAAGAGGCCCAAGAAGGAGGCGGTGGACGAGGATTTTGTATTTTTTTTTACCTTTTCCCCCTGTTTTTCCCCCGATTTCCCAGCGTGAAACCGGCCAGCCCGGCCAAGAGGCCCAAGAAGGAGGCGGTGGACGAGGATTTTGTATTTTTTTTTTACCTTTTCCCCCTGTTTTTCCCCCAATTTCCCAGCGTGAAACCGGCCAGCCCGGCCAAGAGGCCCAAGAAGGAGGCGGTGGACGAGGATTTTGTATTTTTTTGACCATTTTCCCTTGTTTTTCCCCGATTTCCCAGCGTCAAACCGCCAGCCCGGCCAAGAGGCCCAAGAAGGAGGCGGTGGACGAGGATTTTGTATTTTTTTGACCATTTTCCCCCTGTTTTTCCCCCGATTTCCCAGCGTGAAACCGGCCAGCCCGGCCAAGAGGCCCAAGAAGGAGGCGGTGGACGAGATTTTGTATTTTTTGACCATTTTCCCCTGTTTTTCCCCCAATTTCCCAGCGTGAAACCGCCAGCCCGGCCAAGAGGCCCAAGAAGGAGGCGGTGGACGAGGATTTTGTATTTTTTTTGACCATTTTCCCTCTGTTTTTCCCCCGATTTCCCAGCGTGAAACCGGCCAGCCCGGCCAAGAGGCCCAAGAAGGAGGCGGTGGACGAGGATTTTGTATTTTTTTGACCATTTTCCCCTTGTTTTTCTCCCGATTTCCCAGCGTCAAACCGGCCAGCCCGGCCAAGAGGCCCAAGAAGGAGGCGGTGGACGAGGATTTTGTATTTTTTGACCATTTTCCCCTGTTTTCCCCCATTTCCCAGCGTGAAACCGCCAGCCCGGCCAAGAGGCCCAAGAAGGAGGCGGTGGACGAGATTTTGTATTTTTTGACCATTTTCCCTTGTTTTTCCCGATTTCCCAGCGTGAGAAACCGGCCAGCCCGGCCAAGAGGCCCAAGAAGGAGGCGGTGGACGAGGATTTTGTATTTTTTACCATTTTCCCCTGTTTTCCCCCATTTCCCAGCGTGAAACCGGCCAGCCCGGCCAAGAGGCCCAAGAAGGAGGCGGTGGACGAGGATTTTGTATTTTTTTACCTTTTCCCCTGTTTTCCCCGATTTCCCAGCGTGAAACCGGCCAGCCCGGCCAAGAGGCCCAAGAAGGAGGCGGTGGACGAGGATTTTGTATTTTTTTTTACCATTTTCCCCCTGTTTTTCCCCCGATTTCCCAGCGTGAAACCGGCCAGCCCGGCCAAGAGGCCCAAGAAGGAGGCGGTGGACGAGGATTTTGTATTTTTTTTACCATTTTCCCCTTGTTTTTCCCCCGATTTTCAGCGTGAAACCGGCCAGCCCGGCCAAGAGGCCCAAGAAGGAGGCAGTGGACGAGGATTTTGTATTTTTTTTACCTTTTCCCTCTGTTTTTCCCCGATTTCCCAGCGTGAAACCGGCCAGCCCGGCCAAGAGGCCCAAGAAGGAGGCGGTGGACGAGGATTTTGTATTTTTTTTGACCATTTTCCCCTTGTTTTTCCCCCGATTTCCCAGCGTCAAACCGGCCAGCCCGGCCAAGAGGCCCAAGAAGGAGGCTGTGGACGAGGATTTTGTATTTTTTACCTTTTCCCTTGTTTTCCCAGTTTTCAGCGTGAAACCGGCCAGCCCGGCCAAGAGGCCCAAGAAGGAGGCTGTGGACGAGGAGCTGCACCCCGAGCACTACAGGAAATACTCGGAGTACATCAAGGGCAGCAACCTGGACGCCCCCGAGCCCTTCCGCGTGGGGAGGATCAAGGGCATCTTCTGCAGCCTCCGCAGCAACGGCAAACCCAACGAGGCCGACATCAAGATCAGCGTCTACAAGTTCTACAGGTGAGATGGGGTGGAGATTCCAAGGGGTTTTGGGGGGTTGAGTTGTTGGAGGGTCCAAAAAAATGGGGAAATCCTCCCAAAATGGGTGAGGGTTTGGGCAGAGCTGGGAATTGGAGACTCAGCCGACGTCGAGATCAACATCTACAAGTTCTACAGGTGAGATGGGGGGATTTACAGGGATTTTGGGGGCTGAGTGGTTGGAGGGTCCAAAAAAATGGGGAAATCCTCCCAAAATGGGTGGGGGTTTGGGCAGAGCTGGGAATTGGAGACTCAGCTGACGTCAAGATCAACATCTACAAGTTCTACAGGTGAGATGGGGGGAGAATTTACAGAGGTTTTGGGGGGTTGAGTGGTTGGAGGGTCCAAAAAAATGGGGAAATCCTCCCAGAATGGGTGAGGTTTGGGCTCTGATGTGAGCAGAGCTGGGAATTGGAGACTCAGCTGACGTCAAGATCAACATCTACAAGTTCTACAGGTGAGATGGGGGGGATTTCCAGGGATTTTGGGGGGCTGGGAAAGCTCTGAGTGGTTGGAGGGGTCCAAAGAAATGGGGAAATCCTCCCAAAATTGTTGAGGTTTGGGCTCTGGTGTGAGCAGAGCTGGGAATTGGAGACTCAGCTGACGTCAAGATCAACGTCTACAAGTTCTACAGGTGAGATGGGGGGAGATTCCAAGGGGTTTTGGGGGGTTGAGTGGTTGGAGGGTCCAAAAAAATGGGGAAATCCTCCCAAAATGAGTGAGGGTTTGGGCAGAGCTGGGAATTGGAGACTCAGCCGACGTCAAGATCAGCATCTACAAGTTCTACAGGTGAGATGGGGGTGGAATTTACAGGGATTTTGGGGGCTGGGAAAGCTCTGAGTGGTTGGAGGAGTCCAAAAAAATGGGGAAATCCTCCCAGAATTAATGAGGTTTGGGCTCTGGTGTGAACAGAGCTGGGAATTGGAGACTCAGCTGACGTCAAGATCAACGTCTACAAGTTCTACAGGTGAGATGGGAGGGGATTCCAAGGGGTTTTGGGGGGCTGAGTCAATTGGAGGGTCCAAAAAATTGGGGAAATCCTCCCAAAATGGGTGAGGGTTTGGGCAGAGCTGGGAATTGGAGACTCAGCTGATGTCAAGATCAACAAGTTCTACAGGTGAGATGGGGTGGAATTTACAGAGGTTTTGGGGGGTTGAGTTATTGGAGGGTCCAAAAAAATGGGGAACTCCTCCCAGAATTAATGAGGTTTGGGCTCTGTTGTGAGCAGAGCTGGGAATTGGAGACTCAGCCGACGTCAAGATCAGCGTCTACAAGTTCTACAGGTGAGATGGGGGGGGATTCCAAGAGGTTTTGGGGGGCTGAGTCATTGGAGGGTCCAAAAAAATGGGGAGGTCCTCCAAAAATTGACGAGGGTTTGGGCAGAGCTGGGAATTGGAGACTCAGCTGACGTCGAGATCAACATCTACAAGTTCTACAGGTGAGATGGGAGGGAGATTCCAAGGGGTTTTGGGGTTTTTTTTGGGATATCTTGGGATTTCTTTCGAACCCCTTCTTTGTCATTAACCCCCCTAAAACCCCCCCTTTTTTGGGGTCGCCCCTTTGAACCTCTGAGGAAAAACCTGACAGAGCTGATACCAGTGGGACATTTTCCCCTTCCTAATCCCAGGGATGTGGGGTTTTTTTTGGGATTTCTTTGGAACCCCTTCTTTGTCATTAACCCCCCTAAACCCCCCCTTTTTTTTGGGGGTCACCCCTGGGAACTTCCAGGAAAAAACACGGACGGAACCGACTCCAACAGGACATTTTCCCCCTTCCCTTAATCCCAGGAATGAGGGTTTTTTTTTTGGGATATCTTGGGATTTCTTTGGAGCCCCTTCTTTGTCATTAACCCCCCTAAACCCCCCCTCTTTGGGGGTCACCCCTTTGAACCTCCGGAGGAAAAAACACTGACAGAGCTGATACCAGTGGGACATTTTCCCCTTCCTAATCCCAGGAATGTGGGGTTTTTTTTGGGATTTCTTTGGAACCCCTTCTTTGTCATTAACCCCCCTAAACCCCCCTTTTTTTTGGGGGGTCACCCCTGGGAACCTCCAGGAAAAAACACGGATGGAACCAACTCCAACGGGACATTTTCCCCTCCCTTAATCCCATCGATTTGGGGGTTTTTTTTGGGATATCTTGGGATTTCTTTGGAACCCCTTCTTTGTCATTAACCCCCCTAAACCCCCTCATTTTTTGGGGTCACCCCTCTGAACCTCTGAGGAAAAACCTGACAGAGCTGATACCAGTGGGACATTTTCCCCTTCCTAATCCCAGGAATGTGGGGGTTTTTTTGGGATTTCTTTGGAACCCCTTTTTTATCATTAACCCCCTAAACCCCCTCATTTTTTGGGGTCACCCCTGGGAACCTCCAGGAAAAAACAAGGACGGAGCCAACTCCAACAGGACATTTTCCTCTCCCTTAATCCCAGGAATGAGGGTTTTTTTTTTGGGATATCTTGGGATTTCTTTGGAGCCCCTTCTTTGTCATTAACCCCCCTAAACCCCCTCATTTTTTGGGGGTCACCCCTGGGAACCTCCAGGAAAAAACACGGACAGAGCCGACTCTCACAGGACATTTTCCTCTTCCCTTAATCCCAGGGATTTGGGGGTTTTTTGGGATTTCTTTGGAACCCCTTCTTTGTCATTAACCCCCCTAAACCCCCTCATTTTTTGGGGTCACCCCTTTGAACCTCCAGGAAAAAACACGGACGGAACCAACTCCAACAGGACATTTTCCCCCTTCCCTTAATCCCAGGAATATGGGAGTTTTTCTTGGATATCTTGGGATTTCTTTGGAACCCCTTCTTTGTCATTAACCCCCCTAAACCCCCTCATTTTTTGGGGTCACCCCTTTGAACCTCCAGGAAAAAACACGGACGGAACCAACTCCAACAGGACATTTTCCCCCTTCCCTTAATCCCAGGAATGAGGGTTTTTTTTTTGGGATATCTTGGGATTTCTTTGGAGCCCCTTCTTTGTCATTAACCCCCCTAAACCTCCTTTTTTGGGGTCACCCTTTGAACCTCTGAGGAAAAACCCTGCCAGAGCTGATACCAGTGGGACATTTTCCCTTCCTAATCCCAGGAATGAGGGTTTTTTTGGGATTTCTTTGGAACCCTTCTTTGTCATTAACTCCCTAAACCCCCTCTTTTGGGGGTCACCTCTGGGAACCTCCAGGAAAAAAACACGGATGGAACCAACTCCAACGGGACATTTTCCCCTCCCTTAATCCCATCGATTTGGGGGTTTTTTTTGGGATATCTTGGGATTTCTTTGGAGCCCCTTCTTTGTCATTAACCCCCCTAAACCCCCTCATTTTTTGGGGTCACCCCTCTGAACCTCTGAGGAAAAACCTGACAGAGCTGATACCAGTGGGACATTTTCCCCTTCCTAATCCCAGGAATGTGGGGTTTTTTTTGGGATTTCTTTGGAGCCCCTTCTTTGTCATTAACCCCCCTAAACCCCCTCTTTTTTTGGGGTCACCCCTGGGAACCTCCAGGAAAAAACAAGGACGGAGCCAACTCCAACAGGACATTTTCCTCTCCCTTAATCCCATCGATTTGGGGTCGATTTTTCCTGGGAATTCTGATTCCTTTCCCCTTTTCCCAGGCCGGAGAACACCCACAAGTCCACCAAGGCGGGCTACCACGCCGACATCAACCTGCTCTACTGGAGCGACGAGGAGGCCACCGTGGAGTTCCGCGCCGTGCAGGGAAAGTGCTCGGTGGTCTACGGGGAGGACCTGGCCCAGAGCATCCAGGAGTACTCCCTGGGGGGGCCTGACCGCTTCTACTTCCTTGAGGTGAGGGGAATTTGGGAATTTGGGGGGCTGGAGGTGTCCCTGGATGTGTTCTTGGGGGCCTGGAGGGGAATTTGGGGGGCCAGACCGCTTCTACTTCCTCGAGGTGAGGGGAAAATCGGGAATTTGGGGGGCTGGAGGTGTCCCTGGAGGTGTCCCTGGGGGTCTGGAGGGGGAATTTTGGGGCCCAGACCACTTCTACTTCCTCGAGGTGAGGGGGAAATTGGGAATTTGGGGGCTGAGGAGTTTGGGGACTGGAGGGGGAATTTTGGGGTCTGGAGGGGGAATTTGGGGTCTGGAGGTGTCCCTGGGGGGCCCAGACTGCTTCTACTTCCTTGAGGTGAGGGGAAAATTGGGAATTTGGGGGGCTGGAGGGGTATTTGGGGTCTGGAGGTGTCCCTGGGGACTTGACCGCTTCACTTCCTCGAGGTGAGGGGAAAATCGGGGATTTGGGGGCTGGAGGGGGAATTTGGGGGCTGGAGGGGGATTTGGGGTCTGAGAGGGAATTTGGGGTCTGCAGGGGAATTTGGGGGCTGGAGGTGTCCTGGGGGCCCAGACCGCTTCTACTTCCTCGAGGTGAGGGGAAATTGGGAATTTGGGGGCCTGGACCGCCTACTTCCTCGAGGTGAGGGGAATTTGGGGAATTTGGGGTCTGGAGGTGTCCCTGGGGTCTGGAGGGGGAATTTGGGGTCCTGGAGGTGTCTCGGGGGCCCAGACCGCTTCTACTTCCTCGAGGTGAGGGAATTGGAGTCTGGAGGGGGATTTGGGGTCTGGAGGGGGAATTTGGGGTCTGGAGGGGGAATTTGGGGTCTGGAGGGGAATCTTGGAGCCCTGACCGCTTCTACTCCTCGAGGTGAGGAGGGAATTTGGGGGCTGGGGGAATTTGAGGGGCTGGAGGTGTTCCTGGAGGTGTCCCTGGGGACTGAGGGGAATTTGGTCTGGAGGGGGAATTTGGAGTCTGAGGGGGAATTTGGGGGTCTGGAGGGGGAATTTTGGGGTCTGGAGGGGAATTTGGGGTCTGAGGGGAATTTGGGGACTGGAGGGGGAATCTGGGTCTGAGGTGTCCCTGGGGGCCTTGACCGCTCTACTTCCTCGAGGTGAGGGAAAACCGGGAATTTGGGGGCTGGAGGGGGATTTGGGGCCCAGACCACTTCTACTTCCTCGAGGTGAGGGAATTTGGGGGTCTGGAGGGGGAATTTGGGGGGCTGGAGATGTCCCTGGGGGCCAGACCGCTTCTACTTCCTCGAGGTGAGGGGAATTTGGGGATTTGGGGGGCTGGAGGTGTCCCTGGATGTGTCCCTGGGGGTCTGGAGGGGGAATTTTGGGGTCTGGAGGGGGAATTTTGGGGTCTGGAGGTGTCCCTGGGGCCTGGACCGCTTCTACTTCCTCGAGGTGAGGGAATTTGGGAATTTGGGGGCCTGACCGCTCTACTTCCTCGGAGGTGAGGGGAATTTGGGGGCTGGAGGGGAATTTGGGGTCTGGAGGGGAATTTTGGGGGCTGGAGGTGTCCCTGGAGGTGTCCCTGGGGTCTGGAGGGGAATTTGGGGGGCTGGAGGGGGAATTTGGGGGCTAGAGGTGTCCCTGGAGGTGTCCCTGCGGGGTCTGAGGGGAATTTTGGGGTCTGAGGGGGAATTTGGGGGGCTGGAGGTGTCCCTGGGGGGGCCAGACCGCTTCTACTTCCTCGAGGTGAGGGGAAAATCGGGGATTTGGGGGGCTGGAGGTGTCCCTGGAGGTGTCCCTGGGGGTCTGGAGGGGGAATTTGGGGCCCAGACCGCTTCTACTTCCTTGAGGTGAGGGGAATTTGGGAATTTGGGGGGCTGGAGGGGGAATTTTGGGGTCTGGAGGTGTCCCTGGGGGGCCCAGACCGCTTCTACTCCCTTTTTTTCCCCCTTTTTCCCCCTTTTTCCCTTTTTTCACCTTTTCCTCCCCTTTTTTCCCTTTCCCCCCCCTTTTTCCCCTTTTTATTCCCCTTTTCCCCTTTTTCCCCTTTTCCCCCCTTTTTTCCCCTTTTCCCCCCTTTTTTCCCCTTTTTATTCCCTCATTTTCCCCCAATTTTTCCCCCTTTTTCCCCTTTTCATCCCTCTCTTTTTATTCCCCATTTCCCCCCTTTTTCCCCTTTCTTCCCCCCCTTTTTCCCCCTTTTTATTTCCCATTTCCCCCTTTTTTTCCCCATTTCCCCCCATTTTTCCCCTATTTCCCCCCTTTTTTCCCCAATTTCCCCATTTTTCCCCCCATTTTTCCCCAGGCTTACAACGCCAGGACCAAGAGCTTCGAGGATCCCCCGAACCACGCCCGCAGCTCCGGGAACAAAGGGAAAGGGAAAGGGAAAGGGAAAGGTGAGGGATCCCAACCCCCACCCCACCCCAATCCCACAGAAATCCCGGAATTCCCAACGGGAATCTCGGAATTCTCCCTTTTTTTGGGATCCTGGAATGATCCTCGAGGGATTTGACCCCTCAAAACCTCCCCCTATCCCAAAATCCTCTGTTGTGTCATCCCATTCCCATCCCCTGTGTCCAGCAGATTTTTGGGAATGCTCTTCCCAAAGTTTGGGATGAGGGGATGGGAAAAAGGGGGACAAGGAGGGGCTTCCCTTCCGAAATTTGGGAAAAATGGGGGGGAAAAAAGAGGGAATGACCCCCCCTGTGTCCATCAGATTTTTGGGAATGCTCTTCCCAAACTTTGGGATGGAGGAAGGGAAAAAGGGGGGACAAGGAGGGGCTTCCCTTCTTCAAAAATTTGGGAAAAATGGGGGAAAAAAGGGGGGGAAAAAAGAGGGAAAAAAGAGGGAATGACCCCCCCTGTGTCCATCAGATTTTTGGGAATGCTCTTCCCAAACTTTGGGATGGGATGGATGGGAAAAAGGGAGGACAAGGAGGGGTTTCCCTTCCAAAATTTGGGAAAAAAGGGTGGGAAAAAAGAGGGAATGACCCCCCCTGTGTCCATCAGATTTTTGGGAATGCTCTTCCCAAACTTTGGGATGGGATGGATGGGAAAAAGGGAGGACAAGGAGGGGCTTCCCTTCCAAAATTTGGGAAAAAAGAGTGGGAAAAGGGTGGGAAAAAAGAGGGAATGACCCCCCCTGTGTCCATCAGATTTTTGGGAATGCTCTTCCCAAAACTTTGGGATGAGGGGATAGGATGGATGGGAAAAAGGGGGGACAAGGAGGGGTTTCCCTTCTTAAAAAATTTGGGAAAAATGAGGGAAAAAAGGAGGGAAAAAAGAGGGAATGACCCTCCCTGTGTCCATCAATTTTTTGGGAATGCTCTTCCCAAAACTTTGGGATGAGGGTGGATGGGAAAAAGGGGGGACAAGGAGGGACTTCCCTTCCAAAATTTGGGAAAAATGGGGAAGAAAAGGGTGGGAAAAGGGGAGGAAAAAAGAGGGAATGACCCCCCCCTGTGTCCATCAGATTTTTGGGAATGCTCTTCCCAAAACTTTGGGATGAGGGGAGGGGAAAAAGGGAGGACAAGGAGGGGTTTCCCTTCCAAAATTTGGGAAAAATGGGGTAAAAAGGATGGGAAAAAAGAGGGAAAAAAGAGGGAATGACCCCCCCTGTGTCCATCAGATTTTTGGGAATGCTCTTCCCAAACTTTGGGATGGAGGGGATGGGAAAAAGGAGGGGACAAGGAGGGGCTTCCTTCTTCCAAAATTTGGGAAAAAAGGGGGGGAAAAAAGAGGGAATGACCCCCCCTGTGTCCATCAGATTTTTGGGAATGCTCTTCCCAAAGTTTGGGATGAGGGGATGGGAAAAAGGGAGGAAAATGAAGGGTTTCCTTCTTCAAAAATTTGGGAAAAAAGGGTGGGAAAAAAGAGGGAATGACCCCCCCTGTGTCCATCAGATTTTTGGGAATTCTCTTCCCAAAACTTTGGGATGGGATGGATGGGAAAAAGGGGGGACAAGGAGGGGCTTCCCTTCTTCCAAAATTCAGGAAAAATGGGGTAAAAAGGGGGGGAAAAGGGGGGGAAAAAAGAGGGAATGACCCCTCCTGTGTCCATCAGATTTTTGGGAATGCTCTTCCCAAACTTTGGGATGGGATGGATGGGAAATAGGGGGGACAAAGAGGGCCTTTTTTTGGGAAAAGGGTGGGAAAAGGAGGGGGTGGGAGGTGCTGGCTGAGTGAATGGATGGATTGGGGTGGGAGAGATAAAAAAAAAAGAGGGAATGGCTTTTCCTGGGATTTTGTTTTTCCAGGGAAAGGCAAAGGGAAGGCCCCGAGCCCCGAGCGGGGTGAGGAGGAGGAGGAGGCCGAGCCCAAAGCCCCCAAACTGCGGACCCTGGACGTGTTCTCGGGCTGTGGGGGCCTCTCCGAGGGTTTCCACCAGGCAGGTGGGTCCTGGGGTTCCTCTTCCCATCTTTTTTTTGGGGATTCCAAGCTGTTGGGAATCTCTGGAATGCTGGGATTGGGGGAGGGAGAGGGGAAGAAAAGGATCTCGAGGGGCTTGAGTGCCGACTTTTCCTCTTCCAGTCCCTTCTCCTCCTTCTCCAGACCCTTTTCCATGTTTTCCAAACCCTTTTCCATGTTTTCCAAACCCCTTTTTTTGTTCTCCAGTGCCTTCTCCTCCATCTCCAGACCCTTTTCCTGCTCTCCAGACCCTTTTCCTGCTCTCCAGCCCCTCCTCCTCCTTCTCCAAACCCTTTTCCATGATTTCCAAACCCCTTTTTTTGTTCTCCAACCCCTTCTCCTTCATCTCCAGACCCTCCTCCTGCTCTCCAAACCCTTCTGCTTATTTTCCAAACCCTTCTCCTCCTTCTCCAAACCCTTTTCCATGTTTTCCAACCCCTTCTCCTGCTCTCCAGCCCCTTTTCCATGTTCTACAACCCTTTTTCCTGCTCTCCAAACCCTTTTCCATGTTCTCCAAACCCCTTTTTTTGTTCTCCAACCCCTTCTCCTCCTTCTCCAGCCCCTTCTCCATCTCCAGACCCTTTTCCATGTTTTCCAACCCCTTTTCCATGTTTTCCAAACCCCTTTTTTTGTTCTCCAGCCTCTTCTCCTCCTTCTCCAGACCCTTTTCCATGTTCTCCAAACCCTTTTCCATGATTTCCAAACCCCTTTTTTTGTTCTCCAGCCCCTTCTCCTGCTCTCCAGACCCTTTTCCATGTTCTACAACCCTTTTTCCTGCTCTCCAACCCCTTTTCCATGTTTTCCAAAACCCCTTTTTTTGTTCTCCAACCCCTTCTCCTTCTCCAAACCCTTTTCCATGATTTCCAAACCCCTTTTCCATGTTCTCCAGCCCCTTCTCCTGCTCTCCAGCCCCTTCTCCTGCTCTCCAGACCCTTCTCCTCCTTCTCCAGCCCCTTCTCCTCCTTCTCCAAAGCCTTTTCCATGTTTTCAAAACCCTTTTCCATGTTTTCCAAACCCTTTTCCATGTTCTCCAAACCCTTTTCCATGTTCTCCAGCCCCTTCTCCTGCTCTCCAAACCCTTCTCCTCCTTCTCCAGACTCTTCTCCTCCTTCTCCAAACCCTTTTCCACGTTTTCCAAACCCTTTTCCATGTTCTTCAGTGCCTTCTCCTACTCTCCAGACCCTTTTCCATGATTTCCAAACCCCTTTTTTTGTTCTCCAGCCCCTTCTCCTCCTTCTCCAGACCCTTTTCCATGTTTTCCAAACCCTTCTCCTCCATCTCCAAACCCTTCTCCATGTTTTCCAAATCCTTTTCCATGTTTTCCAAACCCTTTTCCATGTTTTCCAGACCCTTTTCCTGCTCTCCAAACCCTTTTCCATGTTTTCCAAACCCCTTTTCCTGCTCTCCAGACCCTTCTCCTGCTCTCCAGACCCTTTTCCATGTTTTCCAAACCCTTTTCCATGTTCTCCAAACCCTTTTCCATGTTCTCCAGCCCCTTCTCCTGCTCTCCAAACCCTTCTCCTCCTTCTCCAGACCCTTCTCCTGTTTTCCACCCCCTTTCCAACCCCCCGGATGACCCCAAACCCCCCAATATCCCATTTTTTCCCCTCCCAGGTGAAATCCCACTGACCCCAAACCCCCAATATCCCAAAATTTCCCCCATTTGATATCCCACTGACCCCAAACCCCCCAATATCCCACATTTCCCCCCTCCCAGGTGTGTCAGAGACGCTGTGGGCGGTGGAAATGTGGGAGCTGGGGATCCTCCATCCCCTTCCTATCATCCTCCAGCCCTGGATAACCCCCCCAAACCCCCCAATATCCCAAATTTCCCCCTCCCAGGGGTGTCAGAGACGCTGTGGGCGGAAATGGGAGCTGGGGATCCTCCAGCCCTCTCCTCGTGCCCCCACTCCTTTCCAACCCCCCTGGATGACCCCAAACCCCCTGATATCCCAAATTTCCCCCTCCCAGGTGTGTCAGAGACGCTGTGGGCGGTGGAAATGTGGGAGCTGGGGATCCTCCATCCCCTTCCTATCATCCTCCAGCCCTGGATAACCCCCCCAAACCCCCCAATATCCCAAATTTCCTCCCAGGAGTCTCAGAGACGCTGTGGGCGGTGGAAATGTGGGAGCTGGGGATCCTCCAGCCCCTTCCTGTGCCCTCCAACCCCTCCTCCTGTTTTCCACCCCCTTCCTATCACCCTCCAGCCCTGGATAACCCCCCCAAACCCCCCAATATCCCACTTTTTCCCCCTCCCAGGAGTCTCAGAGACGCTGTGGGCTGTGGAAATGTGGGAGCTGGGGATCCTCCATCCCCTTCCCTGAGCCCTCCACTCCTTCCTATCACCCTCCAGCCCTGGATAACCCCCCCAAACCCCCCAATATCCCAAATTTTCCTCCTCCCAGGTGTCCCACTGACCCCAAACCCCCCAATATCCCATTTTTCCCCCTCCCAGGGGTGTCAGAGACGCTGTGGGCGGTGGAAATGTGGGAGCTGGGGATCCTCCATCGCCCTCCACTCTTTCCAACCCCCTTGGATGACCCCAAACCCCCTGATATCCCAAATTTCCCCCTCCCAGGGGTCTCAGAGACGCTGTGGGCGGTGGAAATGTGGGAACCACCGGCAGCTTCCCTGTGCCCTCCACTCCTTTCCAACCCCCCTGGATGACCCCAAACCCCCCAATATCCCAAATTTCCCCCTCCCAGGAGTCTCAGAGACGCTGTGGGCTGTGGAAATGTGGGAACCAGCTGCCCAGGCCTTCCGCCTGAACAACCCCGGGGCCACGGTGTTCACCGAGGACTGCAACGTCCTCCTCAAGCTGGTGATGGGGGGCGAGAGGACCAACTCCCTGGGCCAGAAGCTGCCCCAGAAGGGGGACGTGGAGATGCTGTGCGGGGGACCCCCCTGCCAGGGCTTCAGCGGCATGAACCGCTTCAACTCCCGCACCTACTCCAAGTTCAAGAACTCCCTCGTGGTTTCCTTCCTCAGGTGAGGCAGAAAAAGGGGGTTTTCGACCCATTTTTGGGTGGTTTTGGGGTGGGAGAACCCCAGATCCTCAGGTGAGACCAAAAAAAGGGGGGTTTTCCATCGGCATGAACCGCTTCAACTCCCACACCTACTCCAAGTTCAAGAACTCCCTCGTCGTCTCCTTCCTCAGGTGAGGCACAAAAAGGGGGTTTTCAACCCATTTTGGGTGGTTTTGGGGTGGGAGAACCCCAGATCCTCAGGTGAGATCAAAAAAAGGGGGTTTTTCACCTCTTTTTTGGGTGGTTTTGGGTGGTTTTGGGGTGGGAGAACCCCAGATCTTCAGGTGAGATCAAAAAAATTTGGGTGTTTTTGGGTGTTTTTGGGGTGGGAGACCCCCAGATCCTCAGGTGAGATCAAAAAAAGGGTTTTTTTGGGTGTTTCTGGGGTGGGAGAACCCCAGATCCTCAGGTGAGATCAAAAAAAAAGGGGGGTTTTCCATCGGCATGAACCGCTTCAACTCCCGCACCTACTCCAAGTTCAAGAACTCCCTCGTGGTTTCCTTCCTCAGGTGAGGCAGAAAAGGGGGTTTTCGACCCATTTTTGGGTGTTTTTGGGGTGGGAGAACCCCAGATCCTCAGGTGAGATCAAAAAATTTGGGTGTTTTTGGGTGTTTTTGGGGTGGGAGACCTCCAGATCCTCAAGTGAGATCAAAAAAAAGGGGGGTTTTCCATCGGCATGAACTGCCTAACTCCCGCACCTACTCCAAGTTCAAGAACTCCCTCGTGGTCTCCTTCCTCAGGTGAGGCAGAAAAAGGGGGTTTTCGACCCATTTTTGGGTGTTTTTGGGGTGGGAGAACCCCAGATCCTCAGGTGAGATCAAAAAGGGGGTTTTCGACCCATTTTGGGTGTTTTCGGGTGTTTTTGGGTGTTTTGGGGTGGGAGACCCCCAGATCCTCAGGTGAGACCAAAAAAAGGGGGGTTTTCAACCCATTTTTGGGTAGTTTTGGGGTGGGAGACCCCCAGATCCTCAGGTGAGATCAAAAAAAGGGGTGTTTCAACCCATTTTTTGGGTGTTTTCGGGTGTTTTTGGGGTGGGAGACCTCCAGATCCTCAGGTGAGATCAAAAAAGAGGAGAGTTTTTGGGTGTTTTTGGGTGTTTTTGGGTGTTTTTGGGGTGGGAGAACCCCAGATCCTCAGGTGAGATCAAAAAAAGGGGGGTTTTCCATCGGCATGAACCGCTTCAACTCCCGCACCTACTCCAAGTTCAAGAACTCCCTCGTGGTTTCCTTCCTCAGGTGAGGCAGAAAAAGGGGGTTTTCGACCCATTTTTGGGTGTTTTTGGGGTGGGAGAACCCCAGATCCTCAGGTGAGATCAAAAAAAGGGGGGTTTTCGACCCATTTTTGAGTGTTTTTGGGTGTTTTTGGGGTGGGAGACCCCCAGATCCTCAGGTGAGACCAAAAAAAGGGGGGTTTTCAACCCATTTTTGGGTGGTTTTGGGGTGGGAGACCCCCAGATCCTCAGGTGAGATCAAAAAAAGGGGTGTTTCAACCCATTTTTGGGGTGGTTTTGGGTGTTTTTGGGGTGGGATACCCCCAGATCCTCAGGTGAGACCAAAAAATTTGGGTGTTTTTGGGTGTTTTTGGGGTGGGAGAACCCCAGATCCTCAGGTGAGATCAAAAAAAGGGGGTTTTTCCATCGGCATGAACCGCTTCAACTCCCGCACCTACTCCAAGTTCAAGAACTCCCTCGTGGTCTCCTTCCTCAGGTGAGGCAGAAAAAGGGGGTTTTCGACCCATTTTTGGGTGGTTTTGGGGTGGGAGAACCCCAGATCCTCAGGTGAGATCAAAAAAAGGGGGGTTTTTCACCTCTTTTTTGGGTGGTTTTGGGTGGTTTTGGGGTGGGAGAACCCCAGATCTTCAGGTGAGATCAAAAAATTTGAGTGTTTTTGGGTGGTTTTGGATGTTTTTTGGGTGTTTTTGGGGTGGGAGACCCCCAGATCCTCAGGTGAGATCAAAAAAAGGGTTTTTTTGGGTGTTTCTGGGGTGGGAGAACCCCAGACCCTCAGGTGAGATCAAAAAAAAAGGGGGGTTTTCCATCGGCATGAACCGCTTCAACTCCCGCACCTACTCCAAGTTCAAGAACTCCCTCGTGGTTTCCTTCCTCAGGTGAGGCACAAAAAGGGGGTTTTCACCTCTTTTTGGGTGGTTTTGGGGTGGGAGAACCCCAGGTCCTCAGGTGAGATCAAAAAAAGGGGGTTTTCAACCCATTTTTGGGTGTTTTTGGGATGGGAGACCCCCAGATCCTCAGGTGAGATCAAAAAAGGGGGGGTTTTCAACCCATTTTTGGGTGTTTTTGGGGTGGGAGAACCCCAGGTCCTCAGGTGAGATCAAAAAGGGGGTTTTCAACCCATTTTTGGGTGTTTTTGGGGTGGGAGAACCCCAGGTCCTCAGGTGAGATCAAAAAAAGAAAGTGTTTTTGGGTGGTTTTGGGTGTTTTTGGGTGTTTTTGGGGTGGGAGAACCCCAGATCCTCAGGTGAGATCAAAAAATTTGGGTGTTTTTGGGTGTTTTTGGGTGGTTTTGGGTGGTTTTGGGTGGTTTTTTGGTGTTTTTGGGTGTTTTGGGGTGGGAGAACCCCAGATCCTCAGGTGAGATCAAAAAATTTGGGTGTTTTTGGGTGTTTTTGGGGTGGGAGACCTCCAGATCCTCAGGTAAGATAAAAAAATTTGAGTGTTTTTGGGGGTGGGATAACCCCAGATCCTCAGGTGAGATCAAAAAAAGGGGGTGTTTCACCTCTTTTTTGTGTGTTTTGGGGTGTTTTTGGGTAGTTTTGGGTGTTTTTGGGGTGGGAGAACCCCAGATCCTCAAGTGAGATCAAAAAAAGGGGGTTTTCAACCCATTTTTGGTGTGGTTTTGGGGCAGGAGACCCCCAGATCCTCAGGTGAGATCAAAAAAAGGGGTTTTCAACTCATTTTTGGGTGTTTTTGGGGTGGGAGAACCCCAGATCCTCAGGTGAGATCAAAAAAGAGGAGAGTTTTTGGGTGGTTTTGGGTGTTTTTGGGTGTTTTTGGGGTGGGAGAACCCCAGATCCTCAGGTGAGATCAAAAAAAGGGGGTTTTCAACCCAATTTTGGGTGTTTTGGGGTGTTTTTGGGGTGTTTTTGGGTGTTTTTGTGGTGGGAGAACCCCAGATCCTCAGGTGAGATTAAAAAAAGGGTGTTTTTCGCCTCTTTTTGGGTGTTTTGGGGTGTTTTGGGGTGTTTTTGGGTGTTTTTGGGGTGGGAGACCCCCAGATCTTCAGGTGAGATCAAAAAAAGGGGGGTTTTTCACCTGTTTTTGGGTGTTTTTGAGGTGGGAGACCCCCACAACCCCTCCTGTGATGTTTTATTTCTCTTTTTTTGGGTAGTTACTGTGATTATTACCGACCTCGCTTCTTCCTGCTGGAAAACGTCCGGAATTTCGTGTCCTTCAAGCGCTCCATGGTGCTCAAACTCACCCTGCGCTGCCTCGTCCGCATGGGCTACCAGTGCACCTTCGGGGTGCTGCAGGTGGGGCAATTTTGGGGGGAATTTTGGGGATTTAGGGGGAAATTTGGGGGTTTAGGGGGGAAAAAAGCCCCATTTGTGGAGGGGAAATGGTCCTTGTCCTCATGGGCTACCAGTGCACCTTCGGAGTGCTGCAGGTGGGGGTTTTGGGGGAAATTTGGGGATTTAGGGGAAATTTGGGGGTTGGGGAAGAAATTTGGGGATTTTGGGGGAAATTTGGGGGAAAAAAACCCCTTTTTTGGAGGGGAAATGGTCCTTGTCCACATGGGCTCCCAGTGCACCTTCGAGGTGCTGCAGGTGGGGGAATTTTGGGGGGGTTTAGGGGAAATTTGGGGGTTTGGGAAAGAAATTTGGAGGTTTAGGGGAAATTTGGGGTTTAGGGGGAAATTTGGGGGTTTGGGGAAGAAATTTGGGGGTTTGGGAAAGAAATTTGGGGATTTTGGGGGAAATTTGGGGAAAAACCCTTTTGTGGAGGGGAAATGGTCCTTGTCCACATGGGCTCCCAGTGCACCTTCGGGTGCTGCAGGTGGGGCATTTTGGGGGATTTAGGGAAATTCTGGGGTTTGGGGGAAATTTGGGGGTTTAGGGGAAATTTTGGGGGTTAGGGGAAATTTGGGGGTTTAGGGGAGAAATTCGGGAATTTAGGGGAAATTTGGGGAAAAAACCCCTTTTTGGAGGGAAATGGTCCTTGTCCTCATGGGTTCTCGGTGCACCTTCAGGGTGCTGCAGGTGGGAGCAATTTTGGGGGATTTAGGGTGGAAATTTGGGGGTTTAGGGGGAATTTGGGGATTTAGGGGAAATTTGGGGTTTGGGGTGGAAATTTGGGGATTTTGGGGGGAAATTTGGGGGTTTGGGGGGAAATTTGGGGGTTTGGGGAAGAAATTTGGGGGTTTAGGGGGAAAACCCCATTTTTGGAGGGAAATGGTCCTTGTCCACATGGCTCCCAGTGCACCTTCGGGTGCTGCAGGTGGGGAAATTTTGGGGGATTTAGGAGAAATTTGGGGGTTTGGGGGAAATTTGGAGGTTTGGGGAAGAAATTTGGGGATTTTGGGGGAAATTTGGGGGAAAAAAAAACCATTTTTGGAGGGGAAATGGTCCTTGTCCACATGGGCTCCCAGTGCACCTTCGGGTGCTGCAGGTGGGGCAATTTTGGGGAAATTTGGGGATTTAGGGGGAGATTTGGGGGTTTGGGGAAGAAATTTGGGGGTTTAGGGGGAATTTCGGGGTTTAGGGGGAAATTTGGGAGTTTAGAGGGGAAAAAAACCCCATTTTTGGAGGGGAAATGGTCCTTGTCCACATGGGCTCCCAGTGCACCTTCGGGGTGCTGCAGGTGGGGCAATTTTGGGGATTTAGGGGAAATTTGGTGGTTGAAGGGGCAATTTGGGGGTTTGGGGGAGAAATTTGGGGGGTTTAGGGAGAAATTTGGGGGTTTGGAGAAGAAATTTGGGGATTTTGGGGAAAAACCCCATTTTGGAGGGAAATGGTCCTTGTCCACATGGGCTCCCGGTGCACCTTCGGGGTGCTGCAGGTGGGGGAATTTTGGGGGAATTTTGGGGGTTTAGGGGAGATTTGGGGTTTGGGGAAGAAATTTGGGGTTTAGGGGAGATTTGGGGTTTAGGAGGAAATAAAACCCCCATTTTTGAGGGAAATGGTCCTCGTCCACATGGGCTACCAGTGCACCTTCGGGGTGCTGCAGGTGGGGGAATTTTGGGGGGATTTAGGGGAAATTTGGGGGTTTAGGGAAAAAAATTGGGGGTTTGGGGGTGAAATTTGGGGATTTTGGGGGAAAAAAACCCCATTTTTGGAGGGGAAATGGTCCTTGTCCTCATGGGCTCCCGGTGCACCTTCGGGGTGCTGCAGGTGGGGGATTTTGGGGGGATTTAGGGGAAATTTGGGGTTTGGGGAAGAAATTTGGGGGTTTAGGGGGAGATTTGGGGGTTTGGGGGAAAACCCCTTTTGGAGGAAATGGTCCTTGTCCACATGGGCTCCCAGTGCACCTTTGGGGTGCTGCAGATGGGGGAGTTTTGGGGGGAAATTTGGGGGTTTAGGGAGAATTTTAGGGGTTTAGGGGGAAAAAAAACCCTTTTGTGGAGGGGAAATGATGACCCCTGTCCTCCCCTGTCCCCCCCAGGCCGAGGTGGCCCAGACTCAGTCCGGGGTGGCCCAGATGACCCCCCCAACCCCCTCAGGAGGTGTCCCCTGTCCCCCCCCAGGCCGGGCAGTGTGAGGTGGCCCAAACTCAGTCTGGGGTGGCCCAGGTGACCCTCAGGAGGTGTCCCCTGTCCCCTCTGTCTCCCCCCAGGCCGGGCAGTCCGGGGTGGCCCAGACTCGGTCCAGGGTGGCCCAGACTCAGTCTGGGGTGGCCCAGGTGACCCTCAGGAGGTGTCCCCTGTCCCCTCTGTCTCCCCCCAGGCCGGGCAGTCCGGGGTGGCCCAGACTCGGTCCAGGGTGGCCCAGATGACCCCATGATGCCCTCAGGAGGTGTCCCCTGTCCCCTTTGTGTCCCCCCAGGCCGGGCAGTCCGGGGTGGCCCAGACTTGGTCCGGGGTAGCCCAGGTGACCCTGTAGCCCCCTCAGGAGTTGTCCCCTGTCCTGTTTGTGTCCCCCCCAGGCCGGGCAGTCCGGGGTGGCCCAGATTCTGTCCGAGGTGGCCCAGACTCGGTCTGGGGTGGCCCAGGTGACCCCTCAGGAGTTGTCCCCTCTCTCCCCCAGGCCGGGCAGTGCGGGGTGGCCCAGACTCGGTCCGGGGTGGCCCAGGTGACCCTGTAGCCCCCTCAGGAGTTGTCCCCTGTCCCATTTGTGTCCCCCCAGGCCGGGCAGTCCGGGGTGGCCCAGACTCGGTCCAGGGTGGCCCAGATGACCCCATGATGCCCTCAGGAGTTGTCCCCTGTCCCCTTTGTGTCCCCCCAGGTTGGGCAGTCTGGGGTGGCCCAAACTCTGTCCGGGGTGGCCCAGACTCAGTCTGAGGTAGCCCAGGTGACCCCCCAACCCCCTCAGGAGTTGTCCCCTGTCCCCTCTGTGTCCCCCCAGGCCGGGCAGTACGGGGTGGCCCAAACTCACTCTGGGGTAGCCCAGGTGACCCCCCAGCCCCCTCAGGATTTGTCCCCTGTCCCGTTTGTGTCCCCCCAGGCCAGGGTGGCCCAGACTCGGTCTGGGGTGGCCCAGGTGACCCCCCAACCCCCTCAGGAATTGTCCCCTGTCCCCTTTGTGTCCCCCCAGGCCAGGGTGGCCCAGACTCAGTCTGGGGTGGCCCAGGTGCCCCCCACCCCCCTCAGGAGTTGTCCCCTGTCCCCCCCAGGCCGGGCAGTCCGGGGTGGCCCAGACTCGGTCTGGGGTGGCCCAAACTCAATCTGGGGTAGCCCAGGTGACCCCCCAACCCCCTCAGGAGTTGTCCCCTGTCTCCCCCAGGCCGGGCAGTACGGGGTGGCCCAGACTCACTCTGGGGTAGCCCAGGTGACCCTGTAGCCCCCTCAGGAGTTGTCCCCTGTCCCCCCAGGCCGGGCAGTACGGGGTGGCCCAGACTTGGTCTGAGGTAGCCCAGGTGACCCTCAGGAGTTGTCCCCTGTCCCCCCCTGTCCCCTGTGTGTCTCCCCCAGGCAGGGCAGTACGGGGTGGCCCAGACCCGCCGCCGGGCCATCGTGCTGGCGGCGGCCCCCGGGGAGAAGCTGCCGATGTTCCCCGAGCCCCTGCACGTCTTCGCCCCCCGCGCCTGCAAGCTCAGCGTGGTGGTGGACGACAAGAAGTTCGTCAGCAACATCACCAGGTGAGGGAAATCTTCTCCTTCCAGACCTCCCATAAACCTCCATTCCCCTCCTCCTCCTCCTCCAACCCCTGCCCAGGGGCCACCACCAGCCTGGGGACAGCTCTGGGGACAGCTCTGGGGGCAGTCTGGTGTCCCTGGTGATGTCCCTGGGGACAGTTTGGTGTCCCTGGGGGTGTCCCTGGGGACAGTTTGGTGTCCCTGGGCACAGTTTGGTGTCCCTGGTGATGTCCCTGGGGACAGTTTGGTGGCCCTGGGCACAGTTTGGTGTCCCTGGGGGTGTCCCTGGGCACAGTTTGGTGTCCCTGGGCACAGTTTGGTGTCCCTGGTGGTGTCCCTGGGGACAGTTTGGTGTCCCTGGGCACAGTTTGGTGTCCCTGGTGATGTCCCTGGGCACAGTTTGGTGGCCCTGGGGACAGTTTGGTGTCCCTGGTGATGTCCCTGGGGACAGTCTGGTGTCCCTGGGCACAGTTTGGTGGCCCTGGGGGTGTCCCTGGGCACAGTTTGGTGTCCCTGGGCACAGTTTGGTGGCCCTGGGGGTGTCCCTGGGCACAGTTTGGTGTCCCTGGGGTCAGTTTGGTGTCCCTGGTGGTGTCCCTGGGGACAGTTTGGTGTCCCTGATGATGTCCCTGGGCACAGTTTGGTGTCCCTGGGCACAGTTTGGTGTCCCTGGTGGTGTCCCTGGGCACAGTTTGGTGTCCCTGATGATGTCCCTGGGCACAGTTTGGTGTCCCTGGGCACAGTTTGGTGGCCCTGGTGGTGTCCCTGGGGACAGTTTGGTGTCCCTGGGCACAGTTTGGTGGCCCTGGGGGTGTCCCTGGGGACAGTTTGGTGTCCCTGGGCACAGTTTGGTGGCCCTGGGGGTGTCCCTGGGGACAGTTTGGTGTCCCTGGGCACAGTTTGAGTGGCCTCTGGGGTGTCCCTGGGGACAGTTTGATGTCCCTGGGCACAGTTTGATGTCCCTGGGGACAGTTTGGTGTCCCTGGTGTGTGACATTCCCCCTCCCCAGGACGTATTCCGGGCCTTTCCGCACCATCACGGTTCGGGACACGATGTTGGACCTGCCTGAGGTGTCCCTGGGGGTGTCCCTGGGGACAGTTTGGTGTCCCTGGTGATGTCCCTGGGCACAGTTTGGTGTCCCTGGGCACAGTTTGGTGTCCCTGGTGATGTCCCTGGGCACAGTTTGGTGTCCCTGGGGGTGTCCCTGGGGACAGTTTGGTGTCCCTGGGCACAGTTTGGTGTCCCTGGGGACAGTTTGGTGTCCCTGGTGATGTCCCTGGGCACAGTTTGGTGTCCCTGGGGACAGTTTGGTGTCCCTGGTGATGTCCCTGGGCACAGTTTGGTGTCCCTGGTGATGTCCCTGGGCACAGTTTGATGTCCCTGGGCACAGTTTGGTGTCCCTGGGGACAGTTTGGTGTCCCTGGTGGTGTCCCTGGACACAGTTTGGTGTCCCTGGTGGCCCTGGTGTCTCACATTCCCCCTCCCCAGGACGTATTCCGGGCCTTTCCGCACCATCACGGTTCGGGACACGATGTCGGACCTGCCTGAGATCCGGAACGGGGCCTCTGCCCTGGAGATCTCGTACAACGGGGAGCCCCAGTCGTGGTTCCAGCGGCAGATCCGCGGCTCCCAGTACCAGCCCATCCTCAGGGACCACATCTGCAAGGTGGGCGAGGCAACTGGGGGCTACTGGGAGCAGCTGGGAGTGACTGGGAGCAGCTGGGAGCAAACTGGGAACTGGTGGGGCTGTTTGGAACTGGAGGAGCTCTTGGGATCCTGGTGGGGCTGTTTGGGAACTGGAGGATTTCTTGGGATCCTGGTGGGGCTGTTTGGGAACTGGTGGAATTTTTGGGAACTGGAGGAGCTCCTGGGAACTGGAGGAGCTCTTGGGATCCCGGTGGGGCTGTTTGGGAACTGGAGGAGATCTTAGGAACTGGTGGAAATGTTGGGAACTGGTGGAAATGTTGGGAAGTGGAGGAGCTCTTGGGGAACAAGTGGGGCTGTTTGGAACTGGAGGAGACCTTGGGAACTGGTGGAGCTCTTGGGATCCTGGTGGAGCTGTTGGGAACTGGTGGAGATGTTGGGAACTGGTGGATCTCTTGGGAACTGGTGGAAATTTTGGGAACTGGTGGAACTTTTGGGAACTGTTGGATCTCCTGGGAACTGTTGGAGCTCTCGGGAACTGGTGGAAATTTTGGGAGCTGTTGGATCTCCTGGGAGCTGTCGGATCTCCTGGGAAGTTGAGGAGCTCTTGGGATCCTGGTGGAGCTGTTGGGAACTGGTGGAACTTTTGGGAACTGGTGGAGTTCTGGGGATCCTGGTGGGGCTGTTTGGGAACTGGAGGAGCTCTTGGGAACTGGAGGAGCTCTTGGGATCCTGATGGGGCTGTTTGGGAACTGGTGGAACTCTTGGGAACTGGAGGAGCTCTTGGGAACTGTCAGATCTCCTGGGAGCTGTGGGATCTCCTGGGAAGTTGAGGAGCTCTTGGGATCCTGGTGGGGCTGTTTGGGAACTGGAGGAGCTTTTGGAAACTGGTGGAGCTCTTGGGAACTGTTGGAGCTCTTGGGATCCTGACGGGGCTGTTGGGAACTGGTGGAGATTTGGGGAACTGGTGGAGCTGTGGAGCTCTTGGGAACTGGAGGAGCTCTTTGGAAGTGGAGAAGCTTTTAGGAAGTGGAGGAGCTTTTAGGAACTGGTGGATCTCTTGGGAACTGGGGGAACTCCTGGGAACAGGTGGAGCTTTGGGGAACTGGAGGAGCTCCTGGGAGCTGTGGGATCTCCTGGGAGCTGTGGGATCTCCCGGGAAGTTGAGTCTCCCCCGTGACCGGGTGTGCACCGTCCCCCTCAGGACATGAGCGCGCTGGTGGCGGCGCGGATGCGGCACATCCCGCTGGCGCCCGGCTCCGACTGGAGGGACCTGCCCAACATCGAGGTGCGCCTGTCGGACGGCACCACCACCCGCAAGCTGCGCTACACCCACCACGAGAGGAAGAACGGCCGCAGCAGCTCCGGAGCCCTGCGCGCGCCTGCTCCTGCGCTGAGGGTGGGTGACCCTTCCCAGCCCAAAAAAAACCAGTCTGGAGTGGGTTTGTGTGTCTAAAAACCAGTCTGGAGTGGGTTTGTGTGTCTAAAAACCAGTCCAGAGTGGGTTTGTGTGTCTGTCCCCCCAGAAAACCAGTGTGGGTTTCCCCCAAAAAACCAGTCTGGAGTGGGTTTGTGTGTCTAAAACCAGTCTGGAGTGGGTTTGTGTGTCCCTGTCCCCAAAAACCAGTCTGGAGTGGGTTTGTGTGTCTAAAACCAGTCTGGAGTGGGTTTGTGTGTCTGTCCCCAAAAAACCAGTCTGGAGTGGGTTTGTGTGTCTGTCCCCAGAAAACCCAGTGTGGAGTGGGTTTGTGTGTCTGTTCCCCAAAAAACCAGTCCAGAGTGGGTTTGTGTGTCTAAAAACCAGTCTGGAGTGGGTTTGTGTGTCTAAAACCAGTCTGGAGTGGGTTTGTGTGTCTGTTCCCCAAAAAACCAGTCCAGAGTGGGTTTGTGTGTCTAAAAACCAGTCTGGAGTGGGTTTGTGTGTCTAAAACCAGTCCAGAGTGGGTTTGTGTGTCTAAAACCAGTCTGGAGTGGTTTGTGTGTCTAAAAACCAGTCTGGAGTGGTTTGTGTGTCTAAAAACCAGTCTGGAGTGGGTTTGTGTGTCTGTCCCTGTCCCCACTGCGCGGCGGTCTGCTCCTGCGCCAGGGTGGGTGACCCTTCCACCCAAAACTAATCCTATTTAGAGGGGTTTGTGTGTCCCTGTTCCCCAAAAAACCAGTCTGGAGTGGGTTTGTGTGTCCCTGTTCCCCAAAAAACCAGTCTGGAGTGGGTTTGTGTGTCTTTCCCCCCAGAAAAACCAGTCTGGAGTGGGTTTGTGTGTCTGTCCCTGTCCCCACTGCGCGGCGTCTGCTCCTGCGCCGAGGGTGGGTGACCCTTCCCAGCCCAAAATAATCCTATTTAGAGGGGTTTGTGTGTCTAAAACCAGTCTGGAGTGGGTTTGTGTGTCTGTTCCCCAAAAAAACCAGTCTGGAGTGGGTTTGTGTGTCCCTGTCCCCAAAAAACCAGTCTGGAGTGGGTTTGTCTAAAAACCAGTCTGGAGTGGGTTTGTGTGTCCCTGTCCCCAGAAAAACCAGTCTGGAGTGGGTTTGTGTGTCTGAAACCAGTCTGGAGTGGGTTTGTGTGTCTAAACCCAGTCTGGAGTGGGTTTGTGTGTCTAAAACCAGTCTGGAGTGGGTTTGTGTGTCTGAAAACCAGTCTGGAGTGGTTTGTGTGTCTAAAACCAGTCTGGAGTGGGTTTTTGTGTCTAAACCCAGTCTGGAGTGGGTTTGTGTGTCTAAAACCAGTCTGGAGTGGTTTGTGTGTCTGAAAACCAGTCTGGAGTGGGTTTGTGTGTGGATTTCCCCCCCAAAACCCCAGTCTGGAGTGGGTTTGTGTGTCTGTCCCCCCCAGAAAAACCAGTGTGGGTTTCCCCCCACAAAACCCAGTCTGGAGTGGGTTTGTGTCTAAAACCCAGTCTGGAGTGGGTTTGTGTGTCCCTGTCCCCAAAAACACCAGTCTGGAGTGGGTTTGTGTGTCTAAAACCAGTCTGGAGTGGGTTTGTGTGTGGATTTCCCCCCCCCAAAAAAAGTCTAGAGTGGGTTTTTATGTCCCTGTCCCCAAAAAACCAGTCTGGAGTGGGTTTGTGTGTCTAAAACCAGTCTGGAGTGGTTTGTGTGTCTAAACACCAGTCTGGAGTGGTTTTGAGTGTCTGTCCCCCCCAAACCCCCCTCCTGGTTGTCCCCTCCCCCCAGGGAAGCCGTGTGACCCGGCCGACCGGCAGTTCAACACCCTCATCCCCTGGTGCCTCCCCCACACCGGCAACCGGCACAACCACTGGGCGGGGCTCTACGGCCGCCTGGAGTGGGACGGCTTCTTCAGCACCACCGTCACCAACCCCGAGCCCATGGGCAAGCAGGTGGGGGGAGGGGGGCAGGGGGACACCCCCACCAGGCCGTGGGTGCCGGGGAACTGCGTCAGTGACCGGCCGTGGGGCGGGGTTGGGTTGGGTTGGGTTGGGATGGTTGGGTTGGGATGGGTGGGTTGGTTGGGTTGGGTTGGGTTGAGTTGGGATGGGTTGGGTTGGGTTTGGTTTGGTTGGGTTGATTGGATTGGGTGGAGTGGCGGTTGGGTTGAGTTGGGATGGGTTGGGGTTGGGTTGAGTTGGTTGGGTTGGTTGAATTGGGTGGAGTGGGGTGGGGGCTGGGTTGGGTTGGGTTGGGTGGGGTTGGGTTGGGTTGGAGGTGCCTGATGGGTGTCCTGTTGGGTTGGGATGAGTTGAGTTGGGTTGGGTTGGGTTGGTTTGGTTGATTGGAGTTAGTGGGTTGGGTTTGGTCGATTGGTTGATTTGGGTTGGTTGGGTTGGTTGGATTGAGTTGAGTTGCGTGATTGGATTAGGTAGAGTTGGGTTGAGTTGGGTTGGGTGGATTGGGTTGAGTTGAGTAGGGTTTGGTTGAGTTAGGATGAGTTGAGTTGAGTTGGAGTTTGAGTTGGAGTTGGGTTGAGTTGGGTTGATTGGATTGAGTGGAGTTGGGTTGGGTTGAGTTGGGATGGAGTTGGGTTGGGTGGAGTGAGGTGGGTTGAGGTTGGGTTGGGATTGGTTGGGTTGGTTGGGTTGGGTGGAGTGGGGTGGGGTTGGGTTGGGTGGGGTTGGGTTGGGATGGGTGGAGTGGGGTGAGGTTGGGCTGGGTTGGGTTGGGTTGGGTTGGGTTGGGTTGGGGGTGCCTGATGGGTGTCCTGTTGGTTTGGGATGGGTTGAGTTGGGTTGGTTTGAGTTGGGCTGGGTTGGGTTGAGTTGGTTGGGTTGGTTTGGTTGATTGGGTTGGTGGGTTGGGTTAGTTGGGTTCATTGGTTGATTGGTTGGTTTGGTTGGTTGGGTTTGGTTGATTGGTTTGGGTTGGTTGGGTTGGTTTGGGTTGGATTGATTGGTTTGGTTTGATTGGTTGGTTTGGGTCGGTTTGGGTTGGTTGGATTGGTTGGTTTGGGTCGTTTTGGGTTGGTTTGATTGGTTGGTTTGGGTCGGTTTGGGTCGGTTGGGTTTGGTTTCCCAGCGCTGTTGTCGATGGGTCGGCAGGGCCGGGTGTTGCACCCCGAGCAGCACCGCGTGGTGAGCGTGCGGGAATGCGCCCGTTCCCAGGGATTCCCGGACACCTACCGGCTCTTCGGGAACATCCTGGACAAGCACAGACAGGTCAGCCCACGCCCTGCCACCCTGGGGTCCCCATGTCCCCATGTCCCCATGTCCTGGAGTCCCAGTGTCCCCAGTGTCCCATTATCCCGTTATCCCATTGTCCTGTTATCCCAGTGTCACCAGTATCCCATTATCCTGGTGTCCCACTATCCCATTATCCCAGTGTCACTGCTGTCCCATTGTCCTGTTGTCCCAGTGTCACCAATATCCCATTATCCCATTGTCCTGGTGTCCCATTATCCCATTATCCCATTGTCCTGTTATCCCAGTGTCACCAGTGTCCCATTATCCCATTATCCCATTGTCCTGTTATCCCAGTGTCACCAGTGTCCCATTATCCCATTATCCCATTGTCCTAGTGTCCCAGTGTCCCATTATCCCATTATCCCATTGTCCTGGTGTCCCTGTTGTCCCTGATGTCCCCATTATCCCCATTGTCCCCACTGTCCCCATTATCCCCATTATCCCCATTATCCCCATTATCCCCATTGTCCCCACTATCCCCATTATCCCCATTATCCCATTATCCCCATTGTCCCCATTGTCCCCATTGTCC